ATGTACACATGTGCATATATATGCATGAGCATGTGTATGTGTACATGTATCTGAATGTGTGTATATGTGTGTGTATGTATATGAATATAAGCTTGTGTATGTGTATATATGTATGCATATGTGTATATGTTTGCAGATATATGTACATGTGCATATGTATATATGTATTTGTGTATATATGTGTATATGTATATGTATGTATATCTCCCATATTTCCTCTGTCTTTCATTATTCTCTTTTTTAAACACATCATTCTCTTTTTGGTTTGCATGTATACATGTATATGTGTATATGTGATTTTGTATGTATATATGCATACATATGTATACAAGTATATGTATGTGTATATATGAACATGTGCATGTATACATGCATGTGTGCATGTGTTTATATGTGGGTACATGTGTGTGTGCGTGTGTATGTAAATGGAAGGAAGATGCCAAAAAATGGAATTTATTTATTAAAAATTGTGTATTATTCTCACATGTTTAAACCTCAGTACCTTCAAAGTAGTCCCCATTTGATGCAATACACCTATTTCCACTGCTCAAAATAGTTTTTGAACTTGTCAATTTTGATGCCTTTTAGTGCTTCTGCTGTTTATTGTTTCACCCATTTACATACAAACACTTCCCTTTGAAAACTTTTTTTTCATCCAGGGAAACGAAAAAAAAAATCACTCAGGGCAAGAGATTGGTTGAATAGGGAGTGTGGGGCATAAGGGTCATGTCATTTTGGGTCAAAAACTGCAGAACACTCAGGGCAATGTGGGTAGATATGCTGTCATGGTGAAAGGACCAGTCACTTGTTTGCCACAACTCAGGATGTTTCTTCTGCAAATTATGATACAACCTTCTCAAAAGTTCCAGATAAAAAGCTTTGGTTGACTGTTTGATCTAGAGGAACAAAATCACAAGTGTACAATAAAAGACCCGCCCTCCAAAAGATAATTCTGGTGTTCTTTGGGTCCCCCTCGTACTTGTATATATGTATATATGTTTGCATATGTATATGTATATATATGTATATGCGTGTATATGCTATGTACTTGTTTGTGTGCATGTGTATGTGTTTACATGCTATGCATACTTGCATGCATGTGTGCATGAATATGACCATGTATATGTATGCACATGCACGCACACATGAATGTGCATGTATCTGTGTATGTATATTTATGTGGTCATGCTCTGGCATAGTAGATGCTTAATAAACAAAAATACCCTCCTAAATGACAGTTTTTCTATTACATTTGTGCAGTAGTGTGTGACTTGATATAAGAGTAGACAAAGCATTTCTACATGCCCCTATACCATTCCATGTAGTAACTTCAGGCTTTCTTCTTTTTTGAGTTGGAGTCTCACTCTGTTGCCCAGACTGGAGTGCAATGGCATGCTCATGGCCACCCCAGTGTTGACCTGCTGGGCTCCGGTGATCCTTTCACCTCAGCTTCCAAGTAGCTGGAACTAAAGTGCATGCTACCATACCCAGCTAATTTTTTTGATTTATTGTAGAGACAAGGTCTCGCCCTGACTGATCTCGAACCCACAGGCTCAGGCAATCCACTCACCTCAGCCTCCCAAAGTGCTGGGATTATAGGCTGAGCCACCAAGCCCGGCCACCTCAGGCTTTCTAATGCCCACTGGCTTATGACTACCACCATCACCTGCAAAAGTGCAGTTGCCCTTCAGAATCTCTTATGATGTGTTCTAGCTACTATGGCTGCATGTTCTAGCTACTATGGCTGTATAACAAATACCCTGCAATGCAGGGGCCTAAAGCATCGACTTATTCTACTCATAGAGTCTGTGGCTTGGGAATTCAGAAAGAGCACAGAAGGGTGGCTTGTCTTCTTCATTGCATGTGAGGTGTCAGGTGGGAGACTGGCAGGCTGCGGCTGGAGTCATCTGCTGGCTTGGTCACTCCTGCCTCTGGTGAGTGATGCCTGTTGTGGGCTGAGTCGGGCTGTCGGCTGGAACATGGGGCCTTGGCTTCCCACAGCATGGTGGCTGGCGTGAGGGAAGTGTCCCAAGAGCGTGCCTGGTGAAAGCTATGCCCCTGTCTGTGACTCAGTCTTGAAAATCACTCAGTGGCATCGCCGCTGCATTCTATTGGTGAGGCAGTTCCAGACCCCTGCAGGGTTGAAGGGGAGGAGACACAAATGCCCCTCTTGATTGAGGAGTATCAACGTCACACTGTGAAGACAGCACATGGGATGGGATGTATGTTGATGTGACCATCTTTGGGAAATGCAACTTCCACACTGTGTGTCAGGTAGCTTAGGTGATTTCTCATTCCTCAACAAATACTAAAGGTCTACGTATAATTATTTCCATTTTAGAGATGGACAGCCCAAAGATCAGTGAGGCAAAGTGTCTTGCCTTGGGCAATTTATTTAATCTCTCTAAACCTCAGTTACCCCATCTATAAAACGGGTAGAAAAATCTCTGCTTCAGTGAGTTACTGTGAGCCTACATGCTAGTGCTTTAAGGGGTGGTGAGAAGGATTGGAGGAGGTATTTTGTGGTCTCTCACTTTGTACTAAGATAAAGCATCAATATTCATTGTAATAGCTTCATTATCTCCTTGCCCTCCCACCTACAGTCACTTGACCAACCCCACAGCCAGCAAAGGACCCAGGTCTCACCCCCACAGCTTCAAGAGCAAGCTTGGCAATGCTTTTCAGTTGTTGCAAAAGGGCAGCCTAGCGTATTCGGAAATATTTCTTCTTCACTCGGCCTCTCTGGGCTGGCAGAGAAAAGCCAGGAATAGGAACTGATTTCCCTTTTGTTGGCATGGGGAAGGGAGGAGTTGAGCTAGAGGAGCTGAGCTTGTCACCAGTCCCTGGCGTATCCACGCTGGGGCAGCCAAACCCTACCTTTGGCATTTACGTGCTGTGTTATGCTGGTCAAGTTATGGCACCTCTCTGGGTCTTCATTTTCCTTTTCTGTCTCTCTCTCTCTCTCTCTCCTTCTTTCTTTCTTCTTTTTTTTAACCCCAAACATACCCCGGCTCACTCAGCCACAATGGAAGAGATTGCAAATCACTCCCCCTCCTTTCCGCCTGTGCCCATCTTCCAAGAGGAAAAGACCCTTGGGAAGAATGCTAATGTTTGTTTCTACATTCCAAATAATGTGTAACCTGCATAACTCATTCAGTGGATTATGAGCAAGTAACCCTTCGGTCATACTTAAAAATGCAGTCAGTTGCACTGTGTCTCTCTCCCCCAGGGGAGCAGGAGGGAGGGTTGGTGTTTCTGGACGAGTTCATGGGCCCCAGGAGAACTTTCTGGCCCCTGAAGGGACTAAAACTACTCCTTTGAAAATTACTTTTCTGAGGATTAATTCCAAATCCTGTGTCCCTCATTGTCAATCTGTCTGCAAGGCTTAAAGCTGGCCTTAAGAGACCCTCTTGTGCTACGATGTCCATTAAACACACAATTTACTCTCTTGTTATTATGATTCAATTAGAGAAGGGGTGGGGCAGGACACCAACACTAGAGAGCATATCAGGGAACCTGGATGGCTGTTCTTATTTCATGCCTGCTGGATGCCTCGTGGCAGTTGGAGGAAGGGGTGAGGGAGGTGCTGGGATCACTCAGCAGGGATGGCTGGGTGGCACTCACCTCCCCGGAACCAGGGGGTGTGCAGAGTGACCTCCAGAATCCCAGGTGGCAGGTGTATAACAGAGGTGGGCTGTAATGTCTTAGAGTAGCCCCAGGGTCAGCGGAGACAGTCCCCGGACCACAAAATCTGGAAGGGCCAGCTTTGAATCTGGCTTCAGCCTACAGAGTAGAGCTGCCTTGGACCAGCAACTACAGGCTCCTGAGCCCTGATTTTAGTTTCTTCATCTGATCACTGGGCACTGGGTACAGTGAGGAGTGGTGAGAGACCACCCTACAGCATAGGGCCTGACACATAGGAGCAGCTCCATAACTGGGGTTGCTTTTGTTGCTGATTGTTTATCCTCTCAACACCCACTTTGCAAGATGAGGAAACAGAGGGAGATCTGGAAGCACGTATTTTTCTGCAGAGGCTGATGTCCGCTTGCCTTATGGATAGGAACAGATCTCTGCCCATGACCCCATCTCTGGGATGACTCTTGGCCAACAAGTTGTCCCTGAACCTGGCTGGCTGGAAGCAGCCCAGGAACTATCACCCCTCCCAGCTTCAGCTTGGTGGGTCCTTAAAAGATGTGTTTTCTTTCCTTGCCATAAATCTCTAGCCCCATCACGACTCTGAGCAAAGTAAGTTTTTAAAATGCCAGTTGCACAAGTGAGAAAAAAGACTGAGAAACTTTAATGAGGAGGATATGTTTGGGGTTAAAAAAAAGAAAAAGAAAGAAAGATAGGAAAGGAAAATGGGGTTAAAAAAAGAAAAAGAAGCCGGGCTCGGTGGCTCAGCCTGTAATCCCGCGCCTTTGGGAGGCTGAGGTGAGTGGATTGCCTGAGCCCACAGGTTTGAGACCTGCCTGGGCAACTTGGCGAGACATCATCTCTACAATATATCAAAAAATCAACCGAGCATGGTAGCGCGTGCCTGTAATTCCGGCTACTCAGAAGGCTGAGGCGGAAGGATCGCCGGAGCCCAGCGGGTCGAGGCTGTGGTGGCCGGGAGCGGCCACTGCACTCCAGTCTGGGCGACAGAGTAAGATTCCAACTCAAAAAAAAGAAAGAAAGAAAGAAAGAAAGATAGGAAAGTAAAGGAAAATGGGGTTAAAAAAAAGAAAAAGAAAGAAAGATAGGAAAGGAAAGGAAAGTGGGGTTAAAAAAAAGAAAAAGAAAGAAAGATAGGAAAGGAAAGGAACATGGAGACCCAGAGAGGTGCCATGACTTGTCCAGTGTAACACAGCACATAAATGCCAAAGGTAGGAGGGTTTGGCTGCCCCAGCGTGGATACGCCAGGGACTGGTGACAAGTTCAGCCCCTCTAGCTCAACTCCTCCCTTCCCCATGCCAACAAAAGGGAAATCATTTCCTATTCCTGGCTTCGCTGCCGGTCCAGAGAAGCCGAGGGAAGAAGAAATATTTCTGAATATACCAGACTGCCCTTTCACAGTTTCTCCATTTTGCTGTCTGTCGTCTTTGACTGTTTCCCATGAGACTCTCGGGAACGCAGGTGCAGGGTCCCGGTTCACAGTTGTCGTCTCCAGGGCTGGGTACCTGCTCTCCCCAGCTTTGTCTCCAGGCTGTGTGCTCAGACTTGACCATGTTTGGGCATGGAGGCATGTCCCAGATGGAGACCAAAGGGTGCTTCCCTGGAGACGGGCTGGGAGGCCAAACTTCCTGCTGGAGCGCAGCGGCCTCTTTTGGGGTGGGGGCTGGGGACAAGGCAGAAAGAAACCATCTGCAGACCGATCATCGGCAGGGCACGGGGGAGACTGTGAGTACTGTGTCTGAGAGCCCTGGGGAGCAGTTTCTCCAAAAACTGGGGGCTGGTGAAAGACTGGCTGGGAAAACAGCCTGTGGTGGGACGGGTGGGGCGGGTGGTGGGAGCTCCTGTCCTCTTGGCGCTGGCTGTCAGGATGCTGGGTCCAGGGTCTGGGGTCTGGTGGTCAGCTAGGGGGTGGCTCAATGACTGGGTCACTCTGGTAGCCCTTGTCCTCCAGGTTCCAGTTCCCAGAGTAGCAAGGAGGCAGTGGCCTGGAGGTTAAGACCAGTCCTGGCACTTATCGTTAGTGGAGGGAGGTGATAAAAGATAGATTTGGCTAGAGTGGCCCAGACTTCGGCCCCGAATGTTTGGGATTTTCTTTGTTAATAATAATTGCTAATAGTTATTTATGAAGGGCAAGTCTGGGCCAGGTACTATGATGAATGCATGTTACATGACATAACATCTGGTTTTTATCAGAGCTCTCAGTGCAGGTGCTGTGATGCTCATTCCACGGTCACTGCAAGGTGACAGACTGCTAGGTGACACAGGCAGGATTTGACCCCATGTCTGATGATCTCAGAACCCCCCCCCCGCCACTCCACCAAATCCTTAAACACTGACTCTATTCTCTGTCCTTCTAAGGAAAAGGATGTCAACTCAACTGCCAGGTCACACAGGACACTCCCAAATCTTGTCTCCCTTTGCCCTTCCCCATCTTTCCTAAATCCACCCCAGATCTCGAATGACCTTTCTAAGTGGAAAGATACATCCAAAAAATCCAGAGGTATTTAGACTCTCCAAACTGGGAAGTTCTTTTTGGGTTCTAACTTAAATCCTTCCTGTGTAGCTGAGACCCATTTATTTCTGTCCAACATCTGTTCTTGTTCTCCCTCCTGTGCGAAGGTTCTCACTTTGAATGTTGAACCCCAACTTCTTGCTAGAGTCTTATATCTAAATGGAACCCTGAGCTCTTGGGAGAATTTATAATGACTCTGCATACCCACTCACTCAGTGTAGGCAGCAGTTCCCTCAGAGCACAGTAGACAGGTGGGGCCTGACCAAGCTGCAGTTTCCAGACTTCTCTGTGACAAGGAAGCCTCTCCTTTCCTTTCCTCCTGAGATTTCAGTACTGGTAAAACCAGGTTTCCTGCTGTTACCATCCTCGGGCAGGCATAGGAGTCTGGGAGGACACAAGAGGTCACACAGTGGAGGAGGCCATGGCCTGGGAGGTGGGAGGCTGATTAGCCAGGAAGGAGTGGTCAGGCCAAGGGAAGCCCCCACAAGTATGCCCATGGTCCCCAGGAAAGAAATAGTTTTTCTGTGGGCACTCAGCCTAGGTTCTCCAAGATAGGGCTCCCCACTGGCCCCAGATTATTTGTGCCCTTCAGTCTCTGGGGTGGGGCCAGGGACCAGTGACCCTGGAAAGTCCTGGGGCAGCAGGGGGCTGTTAGGTCCTTCTGCCCATCGCCAGGTAATCCTGCTGCTTTACCAGGAAGATGTGCATGGGCTTGTTAAACTGATACCAGGTAGTAGAAGGGGTGGGCTCTCCTGTTCCCATGAGATCATGGAACAGGAGGAGAGGATAAAAAAGAGTTGGACAGAACAACTTTCTTCACCAGGGGAGAAGTTTGCTCACCTGAGATTTTGTAATGTCTCCAGTAGGTGCAGGGCACCTCACTGCCTAGTGCCCCGAGTGAGGGAGGAAAAGCTGTCATTGCATGTCATCTCTGTCAATCACCAGAGGAGACTGGCCAGCTCACGAGGAAGTTGAGACAAGGTGGTAGCCTCTATCCTGGGTGTCTGACCCTGGATTCCCCTCTTTAGGACAGTGGGGAGTGGGGCCACTGGGCTTGGAGGAGGGGGTCAAGGATCTCTGATTGGACATTTGAAACAGTCTTGGAGTTAGGAGAGATGCCTGAGCAGAAAATAGAGCACTTTGCCGAAAATCCCTTTGGACGAATGCCTGTCTCTTGGACACTCACTCATTTATAAAAATAATGTGCTTATTTCTTAATTTATTAAAATAATATGTTTATCACTTTAGAGACCTGGTAGAGAGAATAAAGTTTTCCTTAATGTCTGGCTAAAATTTGATCACTTGAAACTTTGTAATGTCTCCAGTAGAGTGTAAGGCATTTAAACAGGGGATTACAGAGACAGAGTCCTGCGACCTTGGCATTTTTGGTAGAAGTGGACTCGAGTTACCTTAAACAAAACAACAACAACAAAGACATTTTTCCAGAAGGCTCAGAGACAGCTAATGGAGGGGAGATCTCCACAGGGGACAAGGGACAGCAGCCTTGTGACTCCAGGTGATTCACACTCCTGGGTGAGCGTCTGGGGGCCTCACAGGGGAGGGTGGGCTCTCTGCTTGCACTGGGATGGATCCTAACAAAAACTTCAATGAGGGGCTGCAGCCAGAAGAAGGAGAAAAGAAGGAAAGCCATCAGAGACGTCTAGTTCTGCTTTGGCTAGGGTGGCTTCAAGTCCTTGAAGTAAGAAAGCAGTCCCTCAGTCCACCGTCCACCGTGATGTCTCCTTTCTCTGCTTGAAGAAGGGAGGGGCCCTTACAGAAAACCTGACTGTGGGAAACCTCCTGGTCTCCTGACAACCTGTGTCTGCTTTTTGGGGGTACTCCTCCCCATTCTCTGCATGCTGCCCTCACCCAGCTAACCCTGTCTGGGACTGTTTCTTGGCAGAAATACTCCAAGTTTTCCTTTGAGATAAAAGTGTGGATGATCAGTTGTTGCTATTTGCTCATTGTGTTAATTTCCCATGGCTGTTGTAACAGATGGTCATAAACATGATAACCCCAAACAACAGAAACCCAGTTTCATAGTCCTGGAGGCAGAAGTACAAAATCCCCAAGGGATCTGCAGGCTCACTCCCCTCAGAGACCTTAGGGGATGATTTGGTGCTCCCTGTTCCCTCCAGCTTCTGGTGGCAGCTGGGACCCCCTCGCTTGTGGCCACATTGCTCCAACCTATGTCTTCTAGGCCCTATCACCTTCTCCTTGTCTTTGATGTCTAATCTCCCTTCACCTCCCTCTCATAAGTCCCCTTGGGATTACATTTAGGGTCTGCATGAATAATCCAAGATCATTTCCCCATCTCAAGATCCTTAACTTAATTACATTCTGCAATGTCATTACCATATAAGGCAACAATCACGTAACCCAGGGATTAGAACATGGACATCTTGAGGCCATTATTGAAGCGATCCTATGCTGTGTGATGTAGGGCAAGTCCCTTTACCTCTCTGAGCCATAAGATTCTTCATCTGTGATCTCCCCTCAGAGCAGGAAGCCTCACATGAAGTCAAAAAAGCCCTCTGGAAGTTGTAAAACTCCACATATCGACAGGAATGATGTTGGCATTTGAGAACTCTCCCTCCCACCTATTTCCCCTCCTGTGGATTACCTGTCACCTGGGCTGATCACACTTCTGTTTGCCTCTATGGCTCTAGAAATGACTGCTGCCCCCAGTGGACATGGGAAAGAAACTGGTGATGGCCCAGAGGCGCGGAGAGACTCGAGCCCTGTGCCTGGGTGTGACCATGGTGGTGTGTGCCGTCATCAGCTACTACATCCTGGGTACTGCTATGCTGCCCCTCTACCAGAAAAGGTACCCACCTCTCCTGGCCTGCTCTCTGGCTCTCTCCTAAGGGTCTGGGTTCTTCGGTGAACCCCAGCTTTCTATCTATGCCTCCTCTTGACTCTCACACCAGGAAGGACTGTTGAGGCAATGCTCATTCTTAGACTCAAGGGTTCAGGTGTAGAGAAGTTAGGGTGGACTGAGCCTGGCTGGTCTCAGATTCTTGGACTTGATGGTAACAGACACAGACTTGGGGGTAATTCACCACAAATAGCAGAGGATCCCAACAAAAACTCCAGTGCGAATTTGAGCCCAGGAGGAATCAGAGAATCATAGACATTTGTAGCTCATCTGCCCAGTTTTCTCTGCTCTGAAACCTCCCTGTCAGATGGATACCCAGCCTCCCGAGGAATATCTCAAGTGATGGGGAACTCACTACCTCATAGAACACACCATCTCCTGCTTGGGCTTTTCAGATATGTAGAAAAGGTCTGTATTGAGTCAACATCTGCTCCCCTGAAGTTCTGCTCAGGAATCTCAGAGAACGTTCTATGCCCTTAATGTTCCATGCTCTTGCTCCCTGACATGTCAACTGCTTGAGCTTTTAGAGAAGAGTGTGAAATTCTTGCTTTGAGTTCTCTTTGGGATAGACACAGTTCCCTCAGCTTGCCCTCAGGATAAGTCTCAGATCCTTCCTGCGGGCACACTCCAGCTCCTGACAGCCCCCTCCCCTGCAATAGGTCCCCCACAGGATAAACAGGACATGAGTCACAGTTGATTCACAAATGCGTGAGTGAGCCTGGGATCCTCTCCTGAGCCTGCTCCGGCGTTACCTGTTATGACACTGGAGCGTTGTCAGGCCGGACTACTACCCTGGTGTGAGGCACAGCTCAGAGTCCATTCCCACCATCTTTCTTCCCTGGCTCAAACCAAGCCCCTCCCATGTCTACTCCTTTTAGGGGGAAGAGTAGGCATTCTGAAGCCATTCACACCTATCTTCAGGTCCTGTGTGGCCGCGGAAAAGTCACTTGCCCTTTCTGGGCTTCTCTTCCACCTCTGTAAGACAAAGTCCATGTGGATAAGAGCATCTCAGGTCTGGCTGCTCATCTGAGCCACTTTTGGGAGCTTGTAACAAAATACCAGAGCCTGGGCCTGTGGCATGGACATGGGAATGTTTTTAAAATCTCCCTGGACTTTTGAGTAGGTAGTTAGGGTTGAGAGCCATTTGGAGATGATATCTAAGACCCCAACGAGATCTGATATTCTGAGTCTGTGATTCCTCCTTATGTCAGGGGACTCTGAGGCCATCTGTCTTTAGAGTTGGATGCTACTTGACAGCAGACCTTCAAAACACATGGAGGAAAATCTGATAGAAGTTAAACAGAGAAATATACAAATACACAGTTACAGGGAGAGGTTTTATAACATCATTATCAGTATTGTAACAAGTAGACATGGCAAGATGGTTCTGGGGGACCTGGGGTTCAAACCAGGTGCTCTGTGTGTCGCTCAGTTCTGAGATTGTGTGTGTGTGTGCATGCACACACGCATGTATTGTTTCTCCAGCGTGTGGACCCAGGAATCCACGTGCCACCTGATTGAGACCAACATCAGAGACCAGGAGGAGTTGGAGGGCAAGAAGGTGCCCCTGTACCCATGCCTCTGGGTCAATGTGTCTGCTGTGGGCAGGTGGGCAGTGCTGTACCACACGGAGGACACCCGGGACCAGAACCAGCAGGTACTGAATGAGGGGGGCACACATCCCCTTATCCCTGACACGTGTGGAGTCTGTCTCCAACTGTCCTGTCCCCGAGGCTGAGAAAGATGAGCCCACTTGACCAGGGTCTCACAGCCAGAATGAAGTTGAGCCAGTCCTAGCTCTTCTGTGTTGAAGGTTGGAGTCAGGCAGACCTGTTCCCAATCTGCCACTGACTGGATGTGCAACTGGGGTCGGTTACTTAGCCTCTCCCAGCCTCAGCTCCCCCGCCCCTCCCTTCCTTCCTTCTTTTCTTTTTATTTATCTTTTTGCACCTTTCTCCTTCCTTTCCTTTTTCCCTATTTACTTATATCTCCTCCTTCCCCCCTTCCTTCCCTCCTTTTTTCTTTGTATTTATCTTTTCCCATCCTTCTTCCCTTCCTTTCCTCCTTTCTTTTTATTTATAGCTCCTCCTTCCTTCCCCTCTTCCCTCCTGCTTTTCTTTTTATTTATTTATATTTCCCCACCTTCCCTCCCTCCTTTGCTCCTTTCCTTCTTTTACTCAACAGCGACTGGGCACTTCCTGCAGCAGGGCTGTAGGCTTAAAGAGGCAAGAGCTCTTGAAGAACAATACTCATAGGGAGTGACTGGCCCCTTAGAGAAGAAAGGAGAAAGTTACAGGGTCAGAGGAGGGAGCTAGGCTTCCAATTGACCATGAGATGCAGGATCAGAAAGGTATTTGGGTTTGACTTTTACCATCAGCCAAGCACAGCCAGGAACAGAGAGCGGGCAATATGGAAGGTGGGCACAGGACAAGGCATGGGAAGGAGGACTGGGTAGAGGCAGAATCAGAAGGCTGACCACGGAAGGCTGATCATGATGAGAGTAGCAGGTAAAGAAAGACTGCAAGACTGGACTAAGGGCTGTTCCAAGGACTTGGACTATCCAACTATGGAATTAAGATGTGAATGTGTGAGCCAGGAAGTGTCAATGCTTGCTGTGCGGTAGAACCACTGGAAGGTCTTAAAAACCAAAACCTGGGTCCCATACCAGATTGACCGAAGCAGGATCTCCAGGCGTGGCTCAGGCTGTGGAGCTTGCCAGGTGATTCAAGGGTTGGGAATTACTGATGTGAGTGACGGGAGTTCTGAGGGCATGATGACAGCAGTGTCAGGAGAACTGAGCCAGTAGCTGTTCAGCTGCTGGGCAGAAAGGCTGGGTCAAGTCAACACCCAGGACCTGGAATTGAGCCTGCAGCAAGAGGCATGCTGACAGAACAGGGCAGCTGATAGATGGGAAGGGGCAGGGTACCTGAGGCGGGGTGGAGGCTGTGGGATCTGGACAGTGTTGGGGGTGAGGGAGAAGTGGGCCTGGGCAGTACAAGGTGATCTCACCCATTCTGTCCTCGCAAGCATGACTCAGCCTCACCAGGTGGAGGGAGGCCTCAGGGCCCACCTGAATCAGCACCTGCTCATAACCCTTGCCTCGTCCTTGGCATTCACACCCCCTGATTTATCTCAGGAGTAAGACATAAATGCTCAAGACAGGCAGAAGGAATAATGGATGTCACTTTCCTCTGGTGTGTGGGCCCGGGAGCTGGCTGGCTCCCTGGATCCAAGGTTTCCCACTTCGAGGAGCAAGAGGAAGATCTTTCCCTGAATGAGCTGTCAGCAGCATGTTTCACAAGCTTCTCCCCCCACACCCCACCCCACCACTGGGCCCCAGTAGGATGGCGCTGTCCTTTTGCCAGCCACATCTTCTACCTGTGATCAGCACAGGGACCAATACTCCAGCCCCCACTCTGAGGACACGGCCACAAGTCTGCCCTCGGGTTCTCTCAGGAACCTTAACCAGGAAGGGAAAGTTCTGAATCCCCTCCCATGGTCTATGCTGAGGACAAGGACACTGCAGGGCTTGAGGAGAAAAGCTGTTATCAATCAGATAACTCAGAGTTAGCTGAACCCAGGGCAGGTCTCTGGGGCTGACCCTGAAGAGTGAATTCCTGCCTGGTATCTTGCCAAACAGGCCCAGCATAAAGAATCAGGGGAACCCCAAACAAGGGAGGATACAGTGGGTCCTGGAGGGTTGTAAGCCCCCACTTCAGATGACCCTCTCTTTAAGGAGGGAAGGAAGGAGCTATTGTTGCAAGTTCACAGAAAAGCCAACAATATTATTATGATTATAAAAATAGCACCTTCCATCTTTTTTGAGTACTTACCAAAAAGGTACTAGGTACTCTGTGCTAAGTGCTTTATGTGTATCATTTCATCTACTCCCCATGTCGGTTCCTCAAAACCCATTTTATAAGGTTCAGAGAGGTTGTGGCAATTGCCAAGATCACACAGCTCAGAACGCAGGCTATCTGACCCCATAGCCACACCTTTGCTCAAGCAGCTAGGATGCCCAAGGTCACAGTCAGAGGCACTGGGGAGACTCAGGCAGGCCCCTTGCCTCTCAGCTCAGGACTCTGGATTCCATACTCCCAAGGACCCTACAGTGCCAACAGCTCTGAGTGCTGGATAACTCAGAAGCCTGCTTCTCCCCAGTCTCAGCTACTCCCTGGCTGGCCAGGGACCTATGTTTGAATGCAGCAGCTCCATTTCCCAGGCTATCAGAACCACGATACAATTCTCCTCGGTGCCATTGGACCAAATGCCTTCAGGGTCAGTGGCTTTGAGGGTGGGGCCTCTTTCAAATCCAGGAAATAACCAAGGCCTGGGGAGAAGCTGGCTCAACACTTGTCATTTGAGTCTCACTTATACACATTTTTTTTTTTTTTTGAGTTGGAGTCTCACTCTGTCATCCAGACTGGAGTACAGTGGCATGCTCCCAGCCACCACAGTCTCGACCTGCTGGGCTCCGGCAATCCTTCTGTCTCAGCCTTCCAAGTTCCTGGAACTACAGGCGCACACTACCACACCCAGCTAATTTTTTGATTTATTATAGAGATGAGGTCTCGCCAAGTTGCCCAGGCGGGTTTTGAACCTGCGGGCTCAGGCAATCCACTAACCTCAGCCTCCCAAGCGCGGGATTCTAGGCTGAGCCACCGAGCCCAGTTTATACACATTTTTAATATTGGACATGATTTCACTAGGAAAAAAATAAGGGCATGAGGTTATCCCAGGTTTCTGGGCCCCACCCTCAGTGGTTCAGTGTGGGGAGTCTATGGGCAGCCCCCCAGGTATTCTACTTCAGGCCGGGGGACCACCCTTGCAAAACATCTCCCAGTGGCTCATACAAGCCACATCCTGGCCTCCCCACACACAGCAGAGATGAAACCAGGGTCTCCAACTGGTGCCTACTTTCCAGAGTTTTCCAGCTGGTCCTCAACTGGACAGGCCGTAGGTTTCTAATAACAGCGCTCGGCATCAGAATGAAATGTGCACCATGCTCTGCCTGCACAAAGCTCTCCACAATGCACTCTCTCTTTCCTTTTGATCCCAGTGTCAAATATCAGATTCCCAATGTATTTTCTCTGACTCACACAGAGTTAGACCTCAGAGGGTTTCAACTTGAATTTTCGCCAATAGTTTAAAATCACGAGCTTTCACATTGGTTTCTGACTTCTCTTCACATGTCGGAGGTCTGGCTACTGCAGATCTTCTGGATGGCCTGGCATCCATTGTCTGGAGGGAGTGGTAAATGTCAGTCTGGAGGCAGCTGCATCCCTCCACTTCTCCAGGCTCTGGCAATTGTCTCTGGCACCGAGGCAAGTGTCAGTGGGGACCTGTAACTGCACTGCCTCGCCTGCTTCTCTGGCTGACATGACCCATATGAGCCTGTAGGCAGTGGTGCCCACCATAATCTCTAATCCTAACACAAAGCCTATATGGCCTGCGTCCCTGGCTGGTTTCCTTAGACATTTAGGTTTGAAGTCCTTTTTTTTTGCAGTTGCAGTCTCACCCAGGCTGGAGTGCTGTGGCACACTCACGGCCACTCCAGTGTCGACCTGCTGGGCTCCAGCCATCCTTCCGCCTCAGTCTTCACGTAGCTGGAACTACAGGCATGCGCTACCACCCTGGCTAGTTTTTTTCTTTTTCTTTTTTTAATTTATTGTAAGACGAGGTCTCATCAAGTTGCTCAGGCTGGTCTCGAACCGGCAGGCTCAGGAAATCCACTCATCTCGGCCTACCAAAGTGCTGGGATCACGTGCTGAGCCAACGAGCCCAGCATGAAGTCCTTCTTAATAGTATCCTTTGAGACCACTTGTGGTGGCTCTTGCCTATAATTCCAGCACTTTGGGAGGCCAAGATAGGGGGATCACTTGAGACCAGACTGGGAAGCATGCGAGACCTTATCTCCAAAAAAAAAAAAAAATCAAAAAATTAGCCAGGCGTGGTGGCACCCATCTGTAGCCCCATTTATTTGTGAGGCTGAGGTGGAAGGATCGCTTGAGCCCAGGAAGTCAAGGCTGTCGTGAGCTGTGATTATGCCACTGCACTCTAGCCTGGGCAACTGACTGAGACCTCAACTCAAAAAAAAAAAATCCTTTGAAAAAGATATTGCTCTTCACCCACTTAAGTGATGATGATATCAGAGCTCAGAGAGAGGCCATCTGCCAACAATTCTACAACCAGTTGAGGTACAGCCAGACTCCAGGAGGGTGTCCCGGTGTACAGCCTGGACACTGAGCAGTGGACGGTGCTGGACGGTGGCCACCGTCCACACTAACGACACAGATGAGTCTGTGCCCTCCAGACCCGTGCAGGGCACAGCCTGCCAAGCTTTAGACAGAAGTCCTGACTCCAGGCCAGGGCCCGGTGACAGAGCTGGCATTTTTCCTTACTCCACACGAGGCCCTCACCCTCAGCCCTAAGAAACAGGGGCCTTCACCCCCACCAGCGTTCTTGCTTCTCTCTGCAGTGCTCCTACATCCCGGACAGCCTGGACAACTACCAAATGGCCCGAGCCAAAGTGGAGAAGGTCAGAGCCAGATTCCATGAGCACCAGGTCTTCTACTGCTTCTCAACGCCTCAGGAGAACGAGACCAGTGTCCTGTACCGGCGCCTCTATGGGCCCCAGGCCCTCCTCTTCTCCCTCTTCTGGCCTACCTTCCTGCTGACTGGTGGCCTCCTCATTATTGCCATGGTCAAGATCAACCAGTCCCTCTCCATTCTAGCGGCCCAGAAGTAGACCCAACCACACCATACCACCGCTCGGGCCTCAGGGGACCAGGTGGGTCTCCAGGGCTTCTCCCTACATGCATCCCATGCCTCCTCCATCTGCCCTTCCTCTCTCCTTCTCCACTCTGTCCTGCCTTCCACTGCATGACTGACTTTAGGAAATCACTTAAGTCGTTTCCTGCTCAAGAATGTGCAATGGCTCCCTAGTGCCTTATCAGTCAGTTAAAGCTCTCCATTACCTATCCCTTCTCACCTGGCTCATACCTGTTTCCTACTACTCCACAGACAGCGATGATTGTCACCTCTGTGCCTGTGTTCTCCCAGTTGGCTCAAAGGGCTGTCCGTTCCACCCAGGAAGCCTTCCTCAGCAAACCTCAGCTCCTTTCTTGAATTCCATAATATAACCCAAACTGCCATATAGAGAACACAATTAGAATATTACTTCTTTTCAGGTGGCTAAGAGCTGTATATATTTGTATTCCAATATTAACCAATATATGCAAAACAAACAACTATAAGGAAATACACCAAGATGCATCAAAATATTAACAGTGTGATGGTGGTTAATGTTCATTTTCTTCCTTATCCCCCTTTTAATTTTTGCTACTTTTCTAATTTTTTGACAATAGAAAGGTTGTGCTTTGTTTTGCTTTTAATCAGAAAAGCAACAGTAGGTACTATTCTGGAAAAATCTCAAAGGGCCAGTCCTCCTCACAAAGGACACGAGGTGGGTCTGAGGAGGAAGGTGGGTATCTTCAAAGACAGGTTGTTGAGAACACACTGTCCTAAGAACTTTCTGTGCAGGAAAAGTAATCATGCAGATGAGGATTTATGACTTCCATTAAGGGTAAATACTTGGACACTGAGCCTGCTGGGAAGCCTGTCTCAGGTGTGAAAAGGGAAAAATTGGAAGAAGCCATTGCCTCACCATGTCCATTCCAAGAGGTTCTCCTGGAGGGATGATTCTTAAAGCATGGTCCTGGGCCAGCAGCATCAGGATTGTGGAGTCCTGTGAGAAATTCATATTCCCAGGCCCCCATCCCCGCCCCACCAAGCAAGGGGAGAGGTCAGTGCTATGTGTTCTAGTGATGGTGCAGGGGGCTGTGATGGCGCACAGCCCAACTGTCATAGGGATAAGTGCCCTCTCACTGGGCTTTTCTGAATGGGTGCGTGGCTATTTGGCAGGGCAAGTACTGAGCTATGTGTAGTTGGTCTGATGACCCTGAAGCTTCTTCTGGTGCTTGGATTCTAAGACGCAGTCCTTGGGTTTGAATCCTGTCCCTGCCTCTGCCAGATTTCATCTCTCGAGTCTTACTGTTTTCATCTGTAAAAGAAGGACTCTTACTTTTGGGTAGCTGGGAAGGCCGAGTGAAGGTTGTCACATCATAGGTGGCCAAAATGGAAGCTATTGATAATACCAATGTAAATCATGGCTACTCAGAAACTTCCAGAAGAAGTTATAATGACAATGTTATCTAGCATTTTATTGACGCTTATTTATTATGTACCAGGCACTGTGCTAAGTACTTTACCTCGTAAAAATTCAGTGAGGTACTACTGAATCTACTACATAGATAAGGAGACTGTAGGGCAGTGATTAAGTATATAGACTTGGAATGTGTTCTATTCGGGTTCATATACCCAACTTTTTGTAGGGTGCAGTGGCTCATACCTGTAATCCCAGCACTTTTGGAGGCTCAGTTGGAGGATTGCCAAGAGTTTGATACCAGCCTGGCTGGGCAACCTAGTGAAACACCATCTCTACAAAGTTCCTATGAAAAAATGGAGGCTTGGACTGGGTGCAGTGGCTCACGTCTATAATTTCAGAACTTTTGGAGGCTGAGACTGGAGGATTGCTTGTGCCTAGAAATTTGAGACCTGCCTGGGAAACAGAGTGAAACTTTGTCTCTACAAAACATAAAAAAACAAATTAGCTGAGTGTGGATTACCAGAGGGATGGTGAGGTGTGGAGGGGTTGAGGCGGGAGGATCACCTGAGCCCAGGAGGTAGAGGCTGCAGTGAGCCATGAGTGTGCCACTGCACTCCAGCCTGGGTGGCAGAGACCCTGGCTCAAAGAAGGAAAAAGAAAAAGAAAAACAGAGGCTCTAAGAGGTAATTGACCAAGGCCACCTGTACAGTAAGTAAGAGCTGGGAGTCAGCCCAAACCTGGCATCTCAGCCACAGAGCCAGCTGCAGGACTGATGGACACAGTCACCCAAAGCCACAGGGACCAGGCAAGGACCATCATTGTTCCCGGAACCAGGGTGCCCTCATGCAGTTCGGGGTTCTTAGGGAAGGCTCCCTGGGCTCTGCACCAGTATCTGCCACTTTCAGCCGGGAGCCCTGAGGCGTCTCCGTGCCCTCCAGTTTCCTACCTGGAGGACCTTCTTCCTGGGGAAGCAGCTTACTACTCCCCAGAGGGGTCAGGGGACTCTCCAAGATCCTCTGAGTCTTTTAAGAACATCCTGGTTGCGATGTTGTACTATAGTCTTGCAAGGTGCTGCCATTGGGGGAAATTAGGCCAAGAAAGTGTCAACGAGGAGTCTGACCTCTAGGGTCTACATTGTGCATGGTTTTCATGCCTCCACATTTGGGACTAAAAATACGCAGAAATTCAGACTGTCCAAACAGCCCCTACAGGGGAAAACACCAAGTTCCTCTAGAACGTGGGATGCCTAGTCCCCACTGTCCCATGGGTTACTAACGATGCCCTCCTCCTGTCAGCAGACTGGACTGGCCTTCTGTCAAATACCACACCTGACTGAACTTGAAGCCCAAGATGAGCATGAAATGATGGGCATTTAGGCATGATGGGGTTAGACATTGTAAATAAGTGTTTTTTAGAATAATAGCAGCTGGGGAGCAGAGAGTTCTTGTTTCCTCCTCCTCCCCCTTCCCTTCCCCTCCTTCTCCTACTCTCTCTTATCCTCTCCTCTCCCTTCCCCTCCCCTCCTCTTTTCTTTTCTTTCTTTTTTCCTTCTTTCCTTTCTCCTCCCTCCCTCCATCTTCCTTCCTTCCCTCCTTTCTTTCTTTCTGAGATAGGGTCTGGCTCTGCTGCCCAGTCTGGAGTGTGGTGGTGAGATCATGGCTCACTGCAGCATCAACCTCCTCAGCTCAAGTGATCCTCCTGCCTCAACCTCCCAAGTAGCTGGGACTACAGGCCTACACCACCATGCCTGGCTAATTTAAAAAATATCCTTTTGTAGAGATGGGGTGTTGCTATGTTGTCCAAGCTGGCCACCTCTTCTCAATACACCCCTCTGCTAATAAGCATCTAGTGTTCCCATTGTTTTTGCTTTTCCTACCATGGGCTAGTGACTCACACATGGTTGGCTCTCCCATGCACTCTCCCCAGGAATTCAGACCATCTGGTGGAGATCAGAGGCAAGGGGCTCCCTGAGCACCATACATGGAGGAAAGTGCCCTGTGGACATCCTAATAGTGCCTGGCCTCAGATAAAGCCTCAACTCACCAGACCAACCCAAAACTGAAAGCAAAAGAAAAGAGGGTCTCTTCCATTTTTGAAAACCCCCGAGGGCAAGGATTTTACTTCACGTGGATGCATGCATATCACTCTGCACAAGCAAAGGCCTGTCTTCTGGCCATATTCCCTCCCAGTCCCGTTGCCAACCATCTACTGATCTAAAGGGCTTCCTTCTGCACAATGAAGAACCTGCATCATGCAAATTTAAAATAGTACAAAATAAAAATAGTAATATAATCTTAATTTTTGTCTATTGAAATGATATGAACTCCCCCTCTAAATCAACAGTTCATCCCACATTTCTCCTATTTCACAACTCCTTGGGTCAGTGGATTGCAAAGTGCATTGATTCTATTGCTAATTGGCAGTACAGGCGGCTACATTGGAAGGTCCAGTGTCCTTTGAATTAGTTTTGTGTTTGGGGGGGCTTGAATTCGATGAAATATTTGGGAAGATACTGATTGAACAAAGTGCAACTGTCTTGTATCTCCCCAACTACTGTCCCTTCACACATGAGGGAAAGAGAAAGAACAAAGAAAGATCAAAGGGACGTGAGGAAATTCATTACAGTCTACTGCAGCACTTGTCCAAGTGGAGGCTTGCAGTCAAAAATCTTTTCATAATAGTACTAACACATTATTTGCCTGTTTCACTCATTGTCTCATGAGCATACAGTGGAATTTTCCGAGGTTAGATGACATATTTTATCACAACAGTCTGAATGCAGAGGCAGCCAGGAGATTCTAGCTGTGTTTAAGCCAGATATTCAAGATTTGCAAAGAATGTAAAATAATGCCACTTCCACAATGTCATCTTTTTGGAAAAAATACTTGTTTTTCATAAAAATATGCTATTTTTGTGAATAGTTAATGGATTTATTATTATTACCAAATAAATTCAAATTAAATATTTTAAAAGTCTTAGTTTTAATTTCTAAAATGGTAACTTTTTTTTTAGATTAGAAAATATAGTTTATTTAGAAAGTAAATTAGAGAGACAGAGAAAGAGAAGAGATTCACCTCCCCAAGATAGGGGAGGGGGCCAAACTAGGAAACATGGCGGCCATAGCTCAAAGAGTCACATGGACACACTAGACTTTTATACAGCAATGGCCTAAAATGGTAACTGTTAATAGATAGAACCCATATATACCAAAGCTCTTTGGGTTCTTGATATTTTTTAAGAGTGTAGAGAGAAAGCCGGGCTCGGTGGCTCAGCCTGTAATCCCGCGCCTTTGGGAGGCTGAGGTGAGTGATTGCCTGAGCCCGCGGGTTCAAGACCCACCTGGGCAGGCAAGACCTCATCTCTACAATAAATAAAAAAATTAGCCAGGTGTGGTAGTGCACGCCTGTAGTTCCAGCTACTTGGAAGGCTGAGGCGGAAGGATCGCCGGAGCCCAGCAGGTTGAGGCTGCGGTGGCCGGGAGCGGCCACTACACTCCAGTCTGGGCAACAGAGTGAGACTCCAACTCAAAAAAAAAAGAGTGTAGAGAGATCCTGAGACTAAAAAGCTTCAGAACTGCTGGTCAGTGTATCCAGAGACAAGGCCTCCACGTCCCTCCCACACCTGCCCTCTGGGAATCAGAAGCCCTCCCCTGGGTTCCATAAGATGTCCATTGGGGGCCAGGGGAGGGATTTCTTTTTCTGGATCGCTGTGGCTCCCAATTCCTGCT